AGTGTATTATTTTTGACTTTATGAGTTGTTTAAATTGCACAAACATTGGCCATATATAAAGAATTGATAGATAATAAAAAAAAGTCTTATGATTCAATATAATGCAGTATATTGTGATACTGTAAGCAAGGTGATTTTGTAGCAGTGTAGGTGTCATAGTATAAATATTGTTTATCCATATGCATAAAATCTGAGTAAAAAAATTGTATGCAACAAGATCTGCATTTTTATTGTGCACAGTCCCTGTAACATCCATCACCATAGCCCCAGTATCACAGTACAGAATATTAGATATGGATCAGTGTATCAATATTGCCACATTAGCACATACAATATCAAAAGTAACAAAAATTGTAATTCTCAGCGAAGGATAAAGAAATGGAGGACAGTGGGTAACAGCTGAAAGCAGCTACTGATTGAACACTGAGAAAGGAGACCAAACACAGTGTGGTTGTGTCACTGCATAACATCACATGCACACAATGCATGAAACAATGATTTGATGTAACAGCAACACGTTAAAGAAGGTCTTTGTTTTCGGGAAGAAGAGTGCACACCAGCAGAGTTAGAAAGTGCTGTTCTGCCGAGCCAAAAAGTAATTCATTTTGTTTTTCCTTTTAGGTTTGAAAATGACATAGAGGAAGATAGAAACCACTGTCAGAAAGCAGGACACGGCCACCGCAGCTACCACCAGCCATGTAAATGTGGAGTCTGTGAAGGGAAAGACAGAGGTAAATGCATGTTTTGATATAGAAGCCACTGGTTCTCTTGAACATTGCAAAGGATAATTGCGATAACCGTGTATTAGAGCTTAGATTGGCTATTGGTTCTGTTGGTTATGATAACGTACTTATTAGAGTCTTTTGAACATGGCGACATTGTTTAAACAAAGTCTAGTTTAGCATGGATACTTTGACTAATAGTGTACCTCAAGCATCATTTATACTGCAGTGCTCCCAGATTACTTTTAGCAATTACTTTAGTGAGTACAATGTTATCGTGTTATCATAATTAACACCAACGATGGCCAAAATGTCATGTGACACACTGGTTGTCATGTGTTTCAGGAATTTTCCTTTATAAGTATCTAATTGTCTAACTTGATATAAAGAGGATTTACATCCTTAATTCCAATATACTCAGTGACAAAAGTGTTTCTTTGGGGCTCTCTTAATTACACACTGTATACACACACACACACACACACACACAACTCACCCTCTAGCTGAAGCTGTGTGACAACTTCCTGTCTCCCTCCTTGGTTCTGAGTGACACACTTGAGCTCCGTCATCACGTCTTCTTCGGTCATCGCTACAAGAATTAGCCTCAACTCAATCTGGCAGCCCTCAGACACCTTGGTTACCCTGGAAACATTGAGACAGAGACAGCCATCTGTTTACATGGTATGACTTAGACTGAAGAAGTTTATGTAATGTTACTCAAATATTAGCAGCTTTGACCACATGTTGGAAGTCCCAGCACACAGAAAGGGACAATCAAAATCAAGAAGGTACAATCCAAAGTGATTCCTCAATGGCTTAATGAACAGATAATATCATTTCTAACAGTGTTTTGAGTATTTATGTTTATTTACTGTGCTTTATTTACACTGGATGAACAGGAAAACAAAGCCTACTTCACAAGTTTTGAGCATGCATCTTAAAATGACAAAACATTTAGAAGTTTTCGAATTTGAATGTAGTTTTCAATCTAAAGTCAAGTAGCCATCTTTCTATGCCACCAGGGGGCTTCAAAGTTCATTATTTACTAATCGGAAAGTACCTCGTGTTCCTTTTGTGTGGCAAAAACAAATCAACAATTACCTCCTGCCCCCCTGCAGAGCCCGCCCATCAAGGTAGGATGACTCCACTGATTGGCCATTGACCAGCCATGTGACCACAGTGGACGGCGCCATTTGACATTCAGTGAGCACCTTGCAAAACAGCTCCAGTCCTGAACCTAAACGGAGTCAGAGGTTAATCGACATTACACCTTTGTTGCATCTGAATTGTCTATCTTTGCATCCAAGCATGAGATAGAGACGGTTAATCGATATTGTCACTCACCATGCAGACTTTCAACAATAGTTCCATTCAGTGGCGAGACAATCACAGGTGGTTGAATCATTGGAGCTAAGACATAAAGAAACACATTTAATCAGTATCATAATTAATCAGTAACAAATGTTGGCTTCTACAAAGTAAACAAATAAACAAATAAACAAAAAACTCACTGTGAACTGTGCTGTAGCTGCTGCTGCTGCTGCTGCTGCTGCTGCTGATAAGCCCTGGGTTAGAGGTCATGGAGACGTCAGGCACAGTGGGATTGGTAGTGATTGCAGGGTCTAGACCTTCACACATACAGACACAGACAAGTGTTAACACATTCAACAACAACAAACAACTCTTCGTCTTACAGCAACAACGGCTTATTTCACACAACAACAATAATTCATGCAAGCTTGAGTTGTCCCTGTGGCTACGTCAGTGTGCTGCTTCTATTAGGCCAGTAGAGGGCAGGGCACGCCAATGATTTATAGTCTTATTTTGAGAAATAAAAAATGAATCAGTTTATATGATTATTAATCATGATCCCATACTTGCAGTAGTATTTGCTGACAAATTATTTTTAAATGAATATGTATTAACTTTTCATCAAATTATTAAAAATCCACTGCTATGTTTTGTATTTTTATCATTAAAGGGAATAGAAATTAAACATAATTGGAGAGTGGAGAGTATTTACATCAATCCTCAAGTACTACATGCCCAGTATG